ATTTTTTGTGTACATGCTTAGAAGGTGATTGGCAACAAAGTTGAACAAGAGGACGAAACCGGGGTATGTGGAACGTGAATACAATTTCTTTCAGTTTTATTTACAGAAATGGACATCTATTATACAGGTTACGGTTGAAACAAAAATAAAGCAGAAGAAAATTGTTCAACTTTTTGATGAAATGAGGAAACGTAGCATATATATATTGGTTAAACCATTTAAATCGTTATCTCAAGAAGATACGGAGGACCTATTTGAGAGAATAGCTCAAAATACCGTTGTTAAAATTGATCTTCCAAATTTCATCGAAAAATATTTACAAGATTTGCTTGATGGAGATATTGAAAGTGTGTTTCTGAAAGTAAGAAATCCACCCAGCAAAGATTCGCGACCTCTACTTTTATGGACGAGTGAAGTTTGTCGACATTTTATTTTCTACTATTATTACGGAGGTTTACAAAAAAGGGGGGATGAAAAGACTTGGTCTAACCAAACAATTTACCGAATTCTTGACTTGTTTTCAATGTTCTTTGGAGAATTAATATCTGAAGTTTCATAGTAAGTTTTGTAATTTTTCCCTTCATGCTTTCAATATAGATTAATGCTATTCCTATTTCTAGCGGTGAAATAATCAATGAAGCACACAAGGATCGGATTTATAACATAAATATAGATCAAAGACCAACAAGTTCCAATAGAGGAGATAAAAATGATGCGGTTATATATCAAGATCAAAATGCCACAATCATTTATGAACAGTCTTTCGGTCCAACAGATTTCGATGAGGCACACTATTTGGAAGATATAACTAAATTGGCGAGGAATGCTGTGGACGACCTAAACTTCCATTTTATTCTGTATAGTAATTCTTCAATAACGACAGCAAAAAAATTTAAGTCAATCAGTATTCACGGATATAGTAGGTGTTTGCATTATGTTTTGCAAGAATGGTTTGCTTTAATAAAACCCATCTGACTTCTATATTTTAGAATATTTTATATCAATCTATCTTACGGATCTTGTTAGGGCTAAAACTTATAGAATATACGAAATATATAATTGCAAGATTCCAACATCATACACAGAGCGGTGGTTGCTTAAAAAAATTGCAAATCTTGGCGTTTATCTGGAGACACTACTTACAGAACGTCAATTTATAAAAGCAAAAATGTGTGAAGAAGATGTTAACATGGAAAGTAGTCACGATTGTGTATCCGATTGGATAACAGTACCAGATAACACTCCTGATAAAAAGAATAAAGTACCAGCAAAAAAATAATATTGCCATTTTTCTTGATGAGATTTTGTTCACGTCGGGCTCAATTTTTTGATAAAAATTTCTTCCGTAAACGGAACGTGCACGTGTAAGGCTATTGGTCATATTTTTATTATTGATTCTCCAACATCGGGCTTTAAACTTTATGCCAGTTAAAAATAAACAGTTATCATTGGTAACGATCAAAGTTTTGGCATTCTCCCTTCCGGAAGTTTCTTGACAAAGTGATAGAACATAGGTTATATGCTAATATTCTTTTCTGTTATATGGTTTTTGAGGAAATTAATGATGACAAAGCACTCGAACGGTGCATGAATGAAATAACGCTAATACTTTCGAATTTAGAAACGATGCAAACTAATGCCAACGAAGCTACTCGCTGTGTATTTATTACGTCGATATTAAACACAATTCGCACGCGTTATTTAAAGTATGTCCTTCTACAATATGGTAATTCTTTTGAAGGCGATAAAAACGCTAGAGGTTAGGACCTGTGATTTTTGGGTACTAAGTTTGTATCGTGCTATATCTGTTTTAGCAAGTCGATTTAATACAATATACAGTGGCTCCCATAAATTACGCATCATGATACAAGAAACTTTATTTATTTAAATAATTGGTAAAAGAAATTTGAGTTTTTTTACAGATGCATTTCTTTTGACTAATACTAAATTATATACAGTGTGTTAAGAAAGTCTTTGGACACAGATTTTTTATTCATCATATCACGTGATTTATAGCTTAAATAAAAGCTTAATAAAATAAAAAAAATTAATATGAAATTCGTTCACCCCTATTTTTAATTACAAGCCGACAATGCTCCTTCATTGACTTGATTGAATTTACTATAGTCTTATTTGAAATGTTTTCCCACTCCTCGATCATAAATCGATCCAATTCTTCAATATTTTTAGGTTGCCATATTTCTACACCTCTCTTGATGATGAACCACAGGTTTTCAATCAGGTTTATATCAGGACTGTTTGAAGGCCAGTCCATTGTAACAGGAATATTCATTTGAAGGAATTTTTTGGCTATTTTGTTCATATGCTTGAAATCATTATCTTGTTGAAATCTCTAATGATTATCAAGCAACTCACTAACCTCAGAAAGATGTTTTTTAATAATTTCAACATAGCTGGCACCAGTTATATTATTATGGAAAGTAAAAAGATTGGTTTTACCTTTGGCGCAGATCCCACTCCAAGCATTAATTTTTGTATGATCTTTTGGAATATGACAAATCCACCTGAAATTTTTGTACCAGTGCTCTATAGTATTACGAAATAATCAAAAGAATGTTTAATCAATAAAAAGAGTATAATTCCAATTGTTATTGATATGCTTTTGGGCCCACTCTACTTGTTTCTTCTTATATGTTCTGATAAGCATTGGTATTGCTAAAGAAAACTTTTTTTTAAATCTATAGCTATTTAAATAATGCAAAATCATTATATATGAGACATAAACTCCTTTTTCTCTTATTTTATTTGCTAAAGTTCTTGTTAATACAGTTGAATCTCATTAAACCATTTATCCCAATATATTTGGAGCCTCAGGTATTATTTTTTTAGGATGACCAGAATGTTTCTTATGAATCATAGATCTGATTTTTTTTAGTTTATTAATAGTATAGTAAATTTTTTTTTTTTTTTTTTTTTTTTTTTTTTTTGCTGGCTTAACCTTCAGTTGGACTTTATTAAACTTTTACTTTGATATTATATTGTATTATCTGTTTCAAAGTTAATCAAATTTCACAAACTATACTAGCATGTATGTTAGGATTTTTAGAAAAAGATACCTTTTGGTTCAGATTTCCAGTGAACTTCTGTGATTTGTTGCTCCCTTTTCAGGGAACTAACTTGCCTAGGCTGAGTTAGTGCTATTTTCCTTATTTTTTAAAATAAAGAGGAAATAAAAGGTTTTCTGTTTTTTCCAATCTAAAATGATTGTGTGCTTTTGTCTTCAAATACAGCTTCTTGATGTGTCTTGACTTCACTTGCTCTTTGTTTTTTTGTCTGCTCTTATTATCCCCTGAAATGTTTTCCACTTGTTTATAGTTTCGCATCTCTGTTTCCAGGTGGCTCTTATGGTTTCCTGAAGTTCATCAAAGCATTTTATGAGGATTGGTTTGGTTTTCTTCTTGAAAATCCTTACCCAGTTACGTATTAATTTTGCTATATTACACAGGACTAGGCTTCTGACTATTATCTGAATCCAAAGGTTAATAGTTTCTTTCTTGACCCTTGTAACCCATTCCTGTACCCAGCACTTGCTTCGTTTTTCCCTACTTTGAAAGAAACATGTGATTGTCTTTATCATGTGGCTACCAAATCAAAGTCGTTTTCGCTACATATATACATATGCGTTAGATCTTTCACTGCCACTTTACATCTAATGCACTGTCTAGATTTGTATAGGTCAGCCCTTCATTCATGAAGCTTAGACATGGTCAGAAGTTCTTGATTCAGGATTTTAACTTAAAAGTTCTTTGTTGATATTTCTTGGTGCTTATGTCTCCTGTCATAATCTTCTTTAATCTCAGAAAGTCTACTGTTGCTTTCCAGTCTATTGTATTATAATATTGATCAATATCACGGTTTTTTTTCAAATAGCACCATTTTATGAGCTGTTCATTCCGGAAGTGGTTCTGACTACTTCTCTACTGTTGTAGTTTGTTGCCTGGCTTTTATACCAGAGTTCAAGCCCATTTTTATTACTGGAGGTGATATCTAACTTGATCGTTTACTACTTGAGCCTTGCACATTTGGCTTCTGAGTCCACTTTGCTATGTATGTGTGTCCTATTCCTTCTGATTTTTTTCACCTGAAGTTTGAGGTTCTTAGAGTGGACCAGATCTTTCATATGCTCTATCAATCATGTTATTTTACTTCTATTTTTCATTACTGTTAAGGCTGTTGTGATATTAATAATATAGTAAATAACAACTTTTGAAACCTATTTTATATTGAATTTTGGTGACATCTTTAATACTGTTTTCCCATAAACATTGTATGGAAATGGCCTGTACAGATTGATTGACAATCTTCATATTATTTTTTATAAAAAATTTTTTTAATAGGTAGAATAAATTGTTAATATAAGGACTAATAAAAAAAAAACTCTTTCCGCTGATCCCCATTTTTTCAGAAAATTTCCTTTTTTGGTAATTTTTTGAAAAAAGAGAAGCCAGCCCAAAAAACAAGAGAAAACCAACATCAAAGACCATCCACTTACAAGAAACACTATAGAACCAACTATTTACAGTACAGGAACAGGTAAGTATCTAAAGACTTCTAACCTTTCTACACATAATTTTTCTTTTTTAGGAAGAACAACCAAAGATAAAAACTGAATCACAGTAAGCTCTTGGAAGCCCAACATCAACCTCACAAAGCTCTCAGCCAGGCCAGTGCAGGTTAACACCTTTCTAGATACCAAGAGGAACCTTACAAGCAATAATTTAGACTGATAAATCAATCTAAACTCAAATATCCATAAAATTTAGAGGGACGTCCAAGCTTCATTGACTACACAGTAAATAGGCACACTCCCCACAACAAACAAAATTTCAACAAATACAACGTCATGCGAACATGTACACGTATATTCTTCCAAGAAAACAAGATCAAAAAGATGTGTCCATATAAACAACATTTACAGATCATCTATGTATTTACATAAATGGATCAACAACACTCATATTTTCACGTGTTCATATAAACAACTTTACAGATTATCTACGTATTTATAATAAACAGATCAACAACATTCATATTTTCACGTGTTCATAACAAACTGATCAACAACAACAACACAACATCCTTATTATAACAAACACGTGAAATGGAATCTAAATTTATAACACAGCAACTTTAAGATTTTTTCGCATTACCAAATTAATAACAAGGGATAAACAAACTTTCACCACGTGTTAAAAACAACAAAATACAAGTTAAACTTATTAATCTGTGACACGTGACAAGCACAACATATCAACAACACGAAGATTACTACAGATCACAAAGAAACGTGAAATTCATATTCTAGAAATCCTAATCAACCTATCTAACAAGTATGATTAAGAGAAAAAACTATGGACAACACAAACAATCCTCAACACAATCTCTATACAAGAAGACAACCCCAACCCAGCCCCTAGCCCTACAAGATGCTCAATTCTAGATAGCATTATAGC